AAAAGTGGTTCAAGGAAGGAAAAGTGATGAACCGGAGACAGGGTCATGGGTGGGTTCAACAGACGAGCTACTGTAGCTCATATTGCTGAAAAAGTAAACGCTGGTTCTGATAGAAAGGTGTCAGAACACACAGTGCATCATAGTTTGTTGGTATGGGGCTGTAGAACATTATGACAGCATCTTAGCGCTGCGTCACATCTAGCGCCCACCCATGTAGCTGCCATTTGTCTTAGGGCAGTTGCTGAAATGATGTGTGACGTCAACGCACCCTGGACATATCTCTGTACGGGACTCACAGAAATGCATAATTATCAAACCGACAGACTGTTCATTTAAGCCTGAGAATCTAAAATTGGAACATGGATTTATATTAAATAATTAATTAACAATCAGTCTGAGGTCATGTAAAACTGTACAGTATGAAAGATAAGCACAATCAGCTAGAAAAAAAGTTTCCCTCTTTCTTTCCGTTAGCCAATGTCTGCAACACACACCCTGTCCCTGTCTCTCTCTCACACATACACAAACATTTTCCTTATCAGTTCCTCTCCAATTCCTAGCTCCAGAAAGTTTATTAAGAGTTGCAAATGGCTTGTCAGTTCCACCGTCTGCCCACCCTGCCACTCACACCACAACAATTATTATGCATTCACGATCTGGCTCAGTACTGTGGTAATTGGGCCGCAGTAGCTTAGTGTGTACGTAATGTTAAATGGTAAATGGACCTGTACTTGTATAGCGCCTTTCTAGTCGTCCGACCACTCAAAGCGCTTTTACACTTAATGGCACATTCCACCTCTCACGCACATTCACTCAGGGATGGCAAAGCCCATCGCATTCATACACATTCACACACCAATGCACAGCATCGGGAGCAATTCAGAGTTCAGTATCCTACTCAAGGATACTTCGCAAAAAAATGGTGGTCAGGAGGAAGCTGGGATTGGAACCAACAACCTTACTGATTAGTGGAACAATATATCCAATAATACCCATACATTAATAAAATACATTTTATTTAAAAGGGCTCGTCTGGGGAGCCTCAACAGAACGAGACATCCTGCTTTACAACATCAAAAATTAATAACAGTTAAGAAAACAAGAACAAGCTAAAAGACCATGTCTACAGTTAAGTGGGGTATGATATCTGAAAAAAAGGTGGAGTATATTTAGTCTTGATTAAAATGAGTGTGGAGGTCAGGGATTCCTGAGGTCAGTGGGAGTGAGTTCCAGCAGGTCGGGGGGGGGCAGAGCAGCTGAAGCCTTGCTAACCATAGGTGGCGAAAGCAGGGCGGTGAAGGATCAAAGAGGGGACAGGAGAGGCAGACTGAAGGAACGAGAAGTGGCAATGTGGAGGAGTTTTGACAGCTAAGGAGGGGAAAAAGGTTATGGATGGCATTGAACGTAAACAGGAAGATTTGTAGTCAATGCGGAGTTTAACCCGAGAACCAGTGGAGGTTGCTGCCAGAACAGGAAAAAGTGATGTGCGTGGATGTGAGGGGGCGGCTTCTGGAGGGATGATTCGAGCTGCAGAGTTCTGACAGTTGAAAGTTTATGGACGGTATTTGGTGTGTAGACCGAAGGAGAAGAGGAGTTGCAGTAGTCGATGGAAGGTGACAAGGCTTGGTAAAGAATGGCGTGGGTGGGGAGAAAGGGAGGGGAGGCGATTAATATTGCGTAGTGGAAATATGGGCAGACGGGGAAAGAGTGATGTTATTGTATGGGATTGGGACGAATAAAACAAGTGCTTGTCATGGATGACCCGCTCTGCCTGTGTTCATGCTTATTGGCCCACTAACACAGACCTATATCTTGATTTGAACTCTAACTAACTCCTAACTCTAACTTTAAGACTAGGACAGACTCATCATAACAAGTATCTCAGTAGGGCTCGCTCATATGATGATATCTGAGCCAATTCGAGCCCCAGAAAAAGCTTATAAGAGGACCTTGAGATTAGACTTTTAAAAACAGATTTCCAGGGTCAAGAATAAACTTTAATCATCACATAGTGTGTGCTGTCTAAGAGTATCAGTAATATGGCGATGCAATTAAGCTGATCAGAAAATTAATTATTGAGTCAAAAGAAGGCCTGGCATTGAGCATCAAGAATTGCAATAACATAGACAGTCATTGTGATGAAAACAGATGGATACAAAAGGACCTACAATAAGAGAAGAGCAAAAAGACAGGCATCAATACTTCACTAAAGCCACCTCTGATCCAAGGACAGACCCCAGCTCATGGTGGGTGGCCATCTGCCTCGACCAGTTGGGACGAGAGAGAGAGAGAGAGAGAGAGGTAAAGATGGAAGGACTGAGACAGAGGTAAAGAAAGAAGGACAGAGATAGAGACAAAGGTGCACAGCAACAACAGTAGCAACAACTACACTAATAGAACGGACTGATGATGATGAACATGAAGAAGATAATAACGACGACGACGACAACAGCCACAACAATGGGGGACAGTGAGCAATGATAATAGTAACTGTAATAATAATAATAATAATAACAATAATATCAGTAATATTAGCAATGGGAGTCAAGCAGGACCATGGCAGGAGGCACCACCAGGATCCACGAGAACCTGCAAGAACAAGATCTCCGGGGAAGAAGTGAAGTTAGTAACAATAGCATTCTAGTTTATTTATTGATTGGATTTCTGTTTTCCAGTGCTTCAAATATCTTAGTTTGTCTTTGTCAATTTGTTTTACTTTTGAGTAGGGGATTATTTCCATAGCATCACTGTGGAATATGAATATAATGTCCTCATTTGGTTCATACCATGTATTTCTATCTGGGCTTAGATAGCTGTGTTGCTTTATGTATTCTCTGTGTTGGTGTGAATCTGAATCTGATTCTATCAAGTGGTTCTAAAATGTGATTGTTCTTTTTTTGATTTTAATAAAAAAAGAGGGAACTGGTACAGCTCTACTCTGCAGCTGTGGTTTGGACAGTTTCTGTAGTTGTTTGTACTGTTTTTACAGAACTCCAGATGTATTTTTAGGGGCCGAGCCAGTATCAACTGGAAGGTCCCTAT